ATTAGGATCGCCAGATCCCTTGTTTATCTTTTCCACTAAAGCTCATCGGTGCTGACCATGGCCTGCACACATCTGGCGGTGTGCAGATTTCCTGCTTCTCAGAGATGCTGACTTTAGAAGGATTAGGAGGTCTCGTGCCTACGCTCAAGTTTGGTTCGGAGATGGAATCTACGCTGCACTACGCCAACTCTGATGATGACCCGTGAAGGAGGAGCCTTCACTCGATAGTCTTCCACTAGATTAACTCTGTAATAGGTGTGTTCCCCAGTGATGTAATATCTTGTATTCTTGTAATCTTACGATGTATGACTGTGACATCGACTGAAATATGATAATATGATGGAATCATTTCTTGGTTTTATCATATTAAAATTCATTATGTGGATTTTCCCTTCGAGGAAAATTGAGGATGTTTCAGAGTATAAGGTTCATGTTTATCTTCTGTGGTGAGTTCTACTTTAAGTTAGTTTTGTTCATTATTTACTTGCGAGTTCGTCGTCCGTCCCCGAGGCGGATGCTCTAGTAGAGGGCCCTGATAAAGACGAATAACCCTGATCATGCTAGAGTAGTAGTCGATAGCGTAGACATGGTGTCTAGGCTAGAGGCTACCTTCGTTTGCCTCATACCCTATGGTTGAGGGGTAGGCGGCAGGTGGTGACAGCCATGTCCGTCCCTCGTAATTCCCCACGTCTGGGTACGGCGTAGAGCCGTAGGTCGAGATCGCCTGGTAGACCAGGTGTGCTCCGGTGCCCGAAGTAAGTATATAGTGGCAAAGCTATCTTAACTTAGGAACTCTATCCATAGAAAACCTCGCTACCCGATCTATCTTTCTTTTTGTTACCTTAGGTGAACTAGCTAAGAGACTTTTACACATTCGTTCCTCATGGAAATACGATACCCTAAATACTTTCGGGTGAAATGCTACAATGGTAATTCTGTGCGCTTGTGGATTATTTCTGTATGTGTTAAGAAATACCAACATTCACCTTACTTGTAGGGGCATGTTTGTTTGGCTTGACGGCCCCCAGATGCAAGCCTAGCCGGTGCAGTGTGGCCTATTTGTTTGCCTAGATGAGATTTGGGCCCGGCCGGCACGCTGCTTAAAGCAACCTAGAGCTAGGCCCTGGGGAAACGCCCACCCCCTCCGTTTCTCTAGAGCCCAGCTTGTTTCGGCCACTGGCGGGATCTTTTCGGCCGTTTGCAGGCTCGACCTCTCATCTAGCGTGCGACACGGACATTTCCCTTCGCCTCCCCGCTAGGGTTCGCCTCCCTTATAACGGCGGCCGCCGCTCACTCTTCCTCTCCTCCCCGTCCTCACTCCCTCCTACTCTCCACTCTCCTCGGTGCGGTTGCCTCATCCTCCCTTGTCCAGCGGTGCGTGGTGGCGGTGGAGTCATAGACAGGCCTCACGTGGCTCGCGTTGGCTCCTCCTACGTCTCGTCGGCACACGGGTGGCGGTGGTCCTCGTCGTCTTCTTCTTCCTCAAGATGAGCAGGTGCTGCTATGGGTGGCTGTGTTTGTTTGCCTAGACCTAAGCCTATGGTCGACACTGCTTCGTCTTCCCCAAGCCGTCGCCTGCTTCCTCTTTGGATCTGCTTCCTCCTTCCTAAGCCACCGGCTTCTTCCTCCTCTCTTTCACCAAAGCAAGGTGAAATCTTGAAATGTTGCTTACACTTGGCCCGATTTTGGCGGTCAAAGTGCTCATAGTGATGGGAATGTTGCTTACACGTGACCCAATTTTGGGAGTCTACGTGCTCATAGCATTGTTTCTGTGGGATTTATGGTTGGCTCATGGCAGATCTGTGAGTTATTGGGCCCAATTCATGATGTTTCCATGTTTTTGTTTCACTGTGATGATATATATGAGCTAGGGTTTACTGTTTAGCATGGTCTAAGACTAGGATCTAACTGTTGCTGGTTTATTTTTGGTCGATCTGTGAGTTCATGGTCCCAATCCATGATAGTTCCATGTTCTTGTTCCACTGTGATGATACATATGAGCTAGGGTTAACTGTTAGACATGGTTTGAGATTGGGATCTATTTATTGCTGGTTTATTTGTGGTCGATGATGTTGAGGTGGAGCCTCTAGGGAAGCTGTACTATGCATATTACAGCTGAGGCCATGAAGTCATAAGTGTCCACTAGTTTTATTTATGTCTGCAATGATGTACACTTAGAGGCCAACAAGGCATGCCTTAACCTAAAAATCAATTTTCATTCATGCATATAGATGGATTTGCAGTAGCAGAGCTATGCCATGGCATCCCAGGCTACCTCCATGGTAGTTGTGATGGTTGCCCTTATTTCTTCTAAACTAAAAAGGGCTAGAGAGGAGGATGAGCCCATTTGTTATGGTCCTAGGTTAGAAGCAGATGAGTACAGGGAGAAGAACCTTGCTCTCATTTACAACTCAACTGATGTTGAGTGCATAGCCATGCTTAGGATGAGTAGAACACCTTTTTCTCACTGTGTAACTTGTTTAGGCAGAGGGGTTTAGTTGTGGACTCAATTAATTCCTCAATTGAGGAATAGGTAGCCATGTTTCTCCATGTGGTTGGGCACAATCAAAGGTTTAGAGATGTCCATCAGAGCTTTAGGAGATCCATATAGACAGTTAGCAGATACTTTCACTAGTTGTTATATGCTATAGGGGAACTAAGGGATGAGCTGATCAAATCACCAACTGGTTCAACACTTGTCAAAATCCTAGATAGTCACAGATGGAACCCTTTTTTCAAGGTAACCGTTGGCTACCTTGGTTCCATTCTCATGGGTTTAGGTTGTTATTTCCATACTTATGTTTGATCCTTACTCATAGGACTGTATAGGTGCCATTGATGGCACCCATGTGTTGGCAAGGGTGCCTAGGCACATGCAGGGGCCATTCAAGGGTAGGAAACAAAGCTTACACAAAATGTGATGGTAGCTGTTGATTTTGATCTTAAGTTCACATATGTGTTGGTTGGGTAGGAGGGTTCTGCTCATAATGCATTGGTTCTAGTTGATGCCATAGAGAGAGATGGGGGTCTGAGTGTTCCTGAAGGTAACATCATTACACATAGCCAAATTGTTCTTAAACCTTTATGTTCTGTCTTGTAAGCCAATCCACCATTACCTTATAGGGAAATTCTATCTAGTGGATGCTAGTTATGCTTGCAGACCAGGGTTCTTGCCTCCTTATAGGGTGTCAGGTATTACATGTCTGAATATGGTCCTAGGCATAACCCTACCAATGCCAAGGAGATGTACAACCTGAGGCACAGCTCCCTTGGAGTGACCATTGAAAGGGCCTTTGGTGCTTTGAAGAACCACTTTCAATCATAGATAACAAACCCTTTCATAAGTACAAGACTCAAGTAAAGCTTGTTCAGGCCTGCTCCATATTACACAATTGGATCCTAGGATTTGGGAGTGGGTTGCAAACCCTGCTTCTTCTTCCTCTTCTGGTCCAGCTGTCAATGCTCTGCAGTCACAAGAGGTGGCTATCATGGCATCAGTTAGGGATGGGATCTCTGATGCCATGTGGGAATCTAGGGGTGCTTCTAGGACTTAGCTGTGCATTTCATGTTTCATTGCTGGACATTTGTAATAAATTAAGGCTGCCTTGTATGGAACTAGTGCTGCATTGTTAGACATGTGTAATATTTTATTTGTGGACACCACTTGAGACCTGTATTGTTTATGCAAATCTGTTTTCTCTGCTATTCACTATTATCTGTTTGGATCATGACTATTGTACTATATATGGAACTTAGATGGCTGGGAATGGTGGTGCTAGTGTTGTGTTTGTGGTTGTAGCTGCAATGCTGCCTAGTGGGTCTGCCTTTGCCCCAGCTAGTGCAAATATTGGTGCTCCTGCTGCTGCTGCTGCTCTTCCTTCTGATGCTGCTCTTCCTGCTGATGCTCCTCCTGCTGATGGTGCTGGTCCAGCAGCTACGCTAGCAATTAGGTGGACAACCAACACCTCAGGCTTTGTCCTTAAGAAGTACAGCTCTTATGAGCAAGCAATGGCTGCTTTCAACTCAACTATCAACTCAATGCCTTCCTCTAAACCTTTTTCATCTTTACCTGTCACTAAAAATGGAGAAACAGTCTCTCCAATCAGCTACAAAAATATGATCATATTGTTCCTTTGTGCTTTGGTCGATGTGATGTGGATGAGGCTCAACAGGTGCAATAGCTGTTAAAGTACTCGTTCTTGTATGTAAGAATTAGTTAGATCTTTTAATCTATGCTATATCATGTTGTAAAGTCACTTAATTTGTGTAAACTGTATTCTAATTAGTAGTACTAAACTACTTTGCCATGTTTATGTGCTCAAATGTTACAACAACTACTCTATTGCCATGTGTATGAAAACTGTGCTCTTCTATTGCATGGCGAGCTGTCCGGGCAACTAAACACCATCCTAACCTGACAGTTACAAGGTGGTTGGGAACACTGACAGCAGGACCAGGTAAACAAACACGGTCCCACATGGACTTCACCCACTAGGGAATAGTGCTCAAATAAAATGCTGTTGCACCTATTGGGCTTGGCCTTTCCCAGCCTGGCTGGGCTGGTCCATGCAGGCTGGCGACGCCAAGACAAACACGCACTAGATGACTGAGTGGTGATCGTGCTCCGCGGCACTGTATATGTATCTGTAACTCAGCTAATACAAGTGCGGTTCGAACCATTCTTGTTTTTACATGGTATCCACCATCTCTCGATCCTAATTCCCGATTTCACGCTTCTGCTGCCCTTCTTCTTCCTTTCACCACCACCATGAGCTCTTCTTCCTCCTCTGCCGCGTCTTCGAAAACGGAAGAAGAATCTGGCCTCCCCAACACCGCCCAACTCCACTCTGATCCTGCTCCCCAAATGGTGGTCCAATCCATCAACATCCAATCCTGAGTCCCCATCGTCTTCGTCTTGGACCTCAATGACGAGAACTACACGGCCTGGTCACGCGCTCTCTCCGCCGTGGTCGGCCAGTACGGCCTAGGTGACCACGTCGATGGCTCCCCAGCCAAGGGCGACTCCAACCGGGTGCAAAACGACTGCGCCATTGTCTCTTGGCTCTACAACCGCGTCGCTCCCTCCTCAGCATGGTCTCCGACGACGCGGACTCCGCCCTCTCTCTGTGGCGCGGGATAGGTCGTCACGGGCCGTCTACCTCAACGCCGAGTTCCGCCTCTTCTTCCAGGGCGACATGTCGGTGCTCTCCTACTGCACTCCCATGAAGACCATGGCCGATCGCCTGGCCAATCTGGGAGCCCCTGTCACCGAGCCTGATCTCGTCCTCAACATTCACTCGAGGTCTCAGCCCCAGCCTGCATCAAGCCGTCCCGCACATCACCATGCGCAAGCGTCTCCCCTCCTTTCTCAAGACCCAACTTGAGGAGCACCGGATCGGTGAATCCGCCAAGCTGCAGGCTACCGCGGAGCTCCTCGCTCAAGCCCGATCCATCAACCTGCCGTCCCCACTGCCGCTCGGCACCGCGGGTTCCTCTTCGTCCAGCACCGTCTACCGCCCGCCCGCACCAGCGTCACCGGCCTACCGCCCACCAGTGATGGCGTCGACACCTTCCTCCAACAACAACAAGAAGAAGCTTCTTCCTCGACTGCCCCACCTGCGGCGCCGACCGGCATCCAGCCTGGCATCAACCCATGGACCGGGCTGAATCATTCTTGTTCTTACATTAGAGAGTTCATGGCTGACACTCATGGACAAATGCTTGATTTAACTATTCAAAACAATTTATGCGAGGAACTTTGATTGACAGAACGTATAATTTCCTGCTATGGAGCCCGAACTGCCAAACCTCTGTTTGTATTCTAGGACGCAGAGGCCGGGACATTATCTAACAATGTTGTAAGTGCTGATATAAACTATAGAGAGCAATCCGACATTATGCACCCAAGAGACATAAAAGAAGTGTTGTATGTTTGAACTGTGGCATTTTATGATACACATTACCAGCCCAAGTGGTAGGGGTTGGTATTAAAGGTAAGTATAAACTACACCCTATACGTGATTGTACAAAGAATAAAGTATTCAGAACTTTATTCCAGTAACATCTCCTATAACTTCCCCATCAAGAACCGGCAGAAATATACGTCCAGGCAGATGGGTCAGTAGCAGATGACTCCTAATCTATTCGTATATCAGTGTCGGAAGGATGACGACCTTCTTGATGACATGGAACCTGACCTTGATGTGATCAGCGCATCAGCAAATTTATGGATCTCAACATCCTCAGGTATGGCCTTGCTACTATCAAGGCGAGTGCTGGGACCAAATGCATTTACCTTTTCCTCTCTAGAAGATACACTCTTGACCCCAGAATGATCACTTCTTTCACCTACAATTTCTGTGCCAAGAGGACTAGATTTTGCGCTGTCCAAAGAAGAATGTGTACCAAAGCCATGATCACCATGTCGTCGACTATCAGGTATGTTTGGTTCTGCCATGAATGAAGAATAGCTATCATGTGAATCCCTTCCAGTGAAGTCATCGAATGAACAACTTGAAATAGACACTCTCCTCTCCAGAGTAGAAACTTCACGGTTCTCCTTTCCTTTTCCCAGCACCAGTTTCCGAAGCTTAGAGAAGAACTTTTTCTTTTTTGGGTTTTTATTATTATGCTTTGTCATCGAAGCAATATCAATTGATACATCATCCAGTTCACCTGACGAAGCCCGTGAGGAAGAGCACTCTGAACCAAATTCGACATGGCCCAAGTGACTGTCCTCTGCACCCGCATTGGCATATTCCATTAACAGCTGCTTGGCCTTCAGTTCAGATTTGGGGCTCAGGGTCTTGCTAAGATCTCGCGCAACAGTCTTCCCTGATGGGGCATCCTTGTTTCTCAGCTCATACCGTAGGCAGGCATTTATCCATTTCAGATATACCAATTCTTCAACATCTGCAAACCTGTCACTCTGAAGTTGTTCAACCTCTTTAGCCAACTTATCAGTTTCTTGCTTCAATCGATCAGCCTCCTCCAATGCTTTTACCTGAAACCATTATTAGTTATTCAATTCCTGATGGAACAACAAACTATCAAGAACACAATGAAGTTAAACTAACATATAAACAATTATTTTTGTGATATAATTATGTGTTTCTTCCCATTCACAAAAGAAATGTCGAGAACACCATGTCCATTTTAGAAATGATCACCCCAAGAGATGATTAAAATTGATTTAGTAAGTGCCAGCTACAATACAGTCCAAGAACAGTAAAGAATCACCTCCATGCTATTTTTGGGCTTGGGTACAGGGGGTAGGCGTGTAACCTCCAGTCGCCTAATAAGATGTGCATTCTCCTGCTGCAGCCTTGAATTTGCAGCTCTTAGCTCTGTTGCCTCCTTTTCCAGCTCCTCTAGTCTCTTCAGTTTTTTTTCAACCTCAATATGATTTTTCTCCTCATCAGTCTGTATGTGCTGCAATGAATCGACCATTTTCTGAACGGAAGTGATTTGCTCCTTAGCCTGTTCTGCATCTGATATCAACTTCTTCTTCAGCAACTTGCACTTTGTTCTTGTCGCCTCAAGCTCAGAGATTATCTTTGAGTTCTCTGACAACTGTGTTTGCAGCCTCTGGTTTTCAGACTGTAAAGATTCAATCTTCAACAAGTACAACTTTGATTCGACATTGTTAATCTTCAGCTTATTCTCAAGCTCCCTCACTGCAGCATCTTGCTCCTGCAAACCGTAACACTCCAAAAGCTGTAGCTCCAGGGTCTTCTCCCTTTCTTGCAGTGATCTCACCAAATCTCTAAGCTTGTGGACTTCATGGTCATTTGATACATCTTCCCTTACTCTCGCTGCAGGTGTGGTTGGAATGCTGTCTATATCTCGGCCAAATTCATTGAGAACCATTTCATTGAACTCTGGAAGGAGGTACCCTTCATCATCAGCAAGGCTTCTGCATTTGGGAGCCAATGGTACTAGTGCTGTGGTGGTGGTTGTCGTAGTGGTAGTGGTCGTGTGCACAGAGTTCCCACTGATAATTTTTGCCTTGGTATCCTCCTTCACAAACAAAAACCGAAGTGTATGTAAATGTCAACAGTGGCATTTTTGTATCATATTCTTTTCATTACATGGGGTAGTTCTCAGAGATGCAGTACAAGAAAAACTTAATGTGAAGGCAATTTGTATTTTGTCAGGGGAGAACTGGAAGATAAACTACCCATAATCTTTAAAGCAGGGGGACAAAAACATTGATGCGTGCAGTACTGTAAAATTGAAAACTTAACCTTGCTTTGCAAGATAAACTATTTAAAGAAGTGAAGAGGATCATCTACCAGCACATTTTTTATTTTTTATGGGCAATAATATTATATCACCTAGCACTAGCAGTCTAGAGAAGGATTTTAATCCCTGAAGAAGACAAACCGCCACTATTCAGAACCAAAAAAAATAGCACTATGAAAATGCAAAGTTTCAATCGTAGGCCACAAATAGTACGCAGGGGTATCATGAATTACTCAGCTAAATCCTTACATTTTTTAGGATCCTCAGCTCCTTGAGCCCTGTTCTGGCCTTCATGCTGCAAGCATCATCCGACTCTACAAAAACACAGGACAAACCATCACCTAATTTCATCTAGCACAGCATATAGCGAGATTGACAATCAATGCGCCATGTTGACAGGAACTTGCACATCTGCTCATTGCTGGTACCTGAGGGAGGAGGAGGAGGTGGCGGCAGCAGGAGCTGCCGGGGCGGCCGCTGGCGCCGCGAGAAGAGCAGCCCGGCGACGGAGAGCGTGACGGCCGCGCCCACCCTGAGGAAAAGTTGGGGCAAGTCCTTGGCGTCCCCGGCGCTCGGCCCACCAACGCCGCTGCTGCTGCTGCAATCACCAGGTTTGGGCATCTGACGCTGTCTACCTCGCCAAGAAGAACAGAAGCCAATCGAGAGCCACGGAGGTGATGAGAATCCAACCTTGTCGGTCGGTCACAAAAAGAGCATCCTTTTGCGCCGCGAGAGGCGGAGCCGTGCCAAATTCAAAAAAAAATTGGGCTCGAACGAGACCACACAAGGTTGTGGTGAAGAATCTGTTCTTGGAGGGAAGAAATTTTTGCAGAAAGCCAGAAAGCGCGTCAGGAAACGCGAGCTCCGGCACCTGCAAGTGGCCGGCTATACCTCCATGGCGTGGAACCGAGCGGACTGGGGGAAGAACCCAGCCCTAGCAACCAACCGGAGCTGCCCCTCAAGAAATTTGTCCCGGGGTGATCTCCGGGTGAGATAAAATTAGGCCGGCGTGCTCCGAATTCAGCTCACAGCCAACAAAAGAAGGTCAAGGGAGAGAGACAGAAAGGAGGAGAAGGAAGACGACGACGAAGAAAGGAAGCAGGACAAAATTGGGGGGCTCGTCTCTCACTTTTTCAGGTCGTTCCGTTGGCTCGTTGTTTTCCTCAAACGCAGGACAGTACAACTCCAAACGACGCCGGAAACCGAAAACTAGTTGGCCCGCCACCGCCGCCTCCTTGAGCAAGAGAGCAACAGGAGAGACGACGCATCGTCCGCTTCCGCCACAGTGCCGGCCACCTCCTCTCGCCCCTTTCTTTATTTATTCGGGGTTCTTGGCCTCTGCTTTGCTTGCCCACTCCCGTCACCTTCTCGCTGATTCCACAAACGGCTCTTACCCGGCAACACCTAATAACATGCAAAGCGAAGTGCCCCTGCTAATCTCCTCCCTCCACAGCACGGCGGCGAGATGTCGCCGTCGCCGTCGACTTCGCGTTTAATTCCGCACGCCAGTGGGACGGTGGGATTCATGGTGAGGAGGAGACGAACGCGTGAAGGCTGGTGGCCGCTGGGATGATTCACGGTTGGGGGTTCCACGCCACGCGATCCCGTCCGCCCGCCAGACACGGGGTGGGCTGTGAGCGAGAACGCGTGTTTTGCTTTGTTTGAGCGGACCGGCGATTGCCGGTCGATCGCTCCAAAGTGTTCGCATGGTGAAAAGACCTAATGCGCTTTATTTAGAGGCGTAAGCACGCTCTAAATAATAGACACGTCCACGGATATAATTCAGCAGTTGGAACTAACCTGCCTATCATGTGAAGACTGCAAGTTGCGAAGTCATGATTCATGTTGTAGGCAGTTATAGCACAAACTTAAGGGGTAGGCACTTATATCAACTCCAGGACCCCTAATTGAGCCCTTCAAAACTAAATTTAAGGGCTTAAGGCATAAAAAAATATAGTAGGACCTCTACTAAAGCTCTCAAATTTGAGGGGCCTCAAATCTCCCTCCGGTCCTCGTCATGGGGCTCTCATCCAGCCCCTAAAATAACCGTTTCAAGTGGTTACTCCTACCGCGTGCGACTCCTTTTCTGTCCGCTCAAGCGCCTCCTTGCCTATCCACTCGGGCGCAAGCCGCCCTTCCCCGTCCGTCCTCACGTCCTTCCTCAGTACGATAGCCTCCCAGTGTTGAGCCCCTCCCTGACGCGACAGGCATATCTCGGAGGCACGGGCGGGCTCCCAGCCTAGCCCACATCCCCGCTGGAGCCCCTCCCCAGCCCTCCTCGCCGGAGGCCCTTCCCCGGTCATGCTCGTCACTGTCAAAGCCCTCCCAGTCTACCAAGCATAGCATGGCTGTGTTTGTTAATTTGGAGAAGATAGGAAAGAGGATGCAAGTGATATGAGTCATTCTCTTGTTAGAATGAATTTGAGGACCTTGTTTGAGGGCTCTTCCTAGAATGCAATCCAGGAAACAAGACTCTTAAAAGTAGAGAAACCCCCAAATAAATCATTTTCTTGTTAGAATGAATTTGAGAATCTTGTTTGAGGGCTCTTCCTAGAGTGTAGTCCAGAAAACAGGACTCAAAAGTAGAGAAGCCCTCAAATAAAAACCGATCCTGTATTGAGAGCTATCGGTGGAGTAGCTATATAGCACAAAGTCAAGGGGTATTTGGTTTGGAAAAAGAACCTCATTCTGAATAAAGTGATGCACCCATAATTCTGATAAAAATAACTCTACTTCTCATATTTATAAATTAACTATTAGTTTGTGTGTAATAAGACAGAAGCAACTCATCGCATATCATAAACAAAACAAAAAGAGCTGAGAAATGGCAAGATGATGGACTAACACATTCTTCAAACCAAACGCGCAAAATAGCGAGTAATGGTGTATCGTGATTAAATCTATATTTGTCCCGCAGTTCAATTGGATAGATCATACCAAACTGCAACCTTCAACAACATACACGCCCATTGCCACAAAAAAAACACAAACTTAGACAAATACTGAAAAATTTAAGCTTTGTGAACGCCTGCATGACAACCAAAAAAAAAAACAATCCTCAGCAAAATTAAGCCAACCAAGTACCTGATCCATATATACAAAAAAAAAACAGCAACAAATCTTTCCCAAAAATTCTAACAATACAGCAACTGCATGCGAAAAAGCTGGTTTTTATACATAACTAAAAACTAACATGAGACTTAAAATTAAAAAAAAAACTATTTTATTATCAGACCTGAATCACTGAAACTGGGATTGGACATCTGGTCTTAAAAACTTGTTAACTTGATGATGCCTAAATGAGAAATATTCTTAAAAAAATGGCCCAATTTCTTCAAAATGTAATAAAATATTTAATCTTATAAACCCCAATTTAACATAATTCAAACATTACCTGCTTATTCAAAACCCCTACTAGGGGGTAACAGTAAAGTTCACAGGCCAAAAATATCCTTGCTTTCCAAATTACTATATCATGGGCTCTTAGTAGCACAGTCAATTTCGACTTGCCATAGAAATTTTTAAGCAAGAACTATAACAAAACAGAAGCAGGATCATCACGGCAACATATGGCAACTAATCTTGAATAAACATCAGCACGTTAACATTTGTCTTAAATCAATCTTAACAGGAAAAAGAGCCCTCTATTTGATGCCTCGCCCCTCTTCCAGCTCAACATCAGTGCAAAAGACAACACTTTAAACAAAAAAAAAATATATATGTTTCCCACCAGCTCTTGGAGATTAGCTTAGGTTATCTATAATTCTATGGTGTCTAAATCCTAAACCCTACAATGAATGGATCAACTAAACCCGTTTCTTATGTACAAGGAAAACAAAGTTGGGTGAGTGACTGGACAAAAGGTTAACCATGCACTGTAAGTCATTAAGTCTATATAGGCAGGCAACTATCAGCATTCTACTTTGTACATGCTTCCCCTGACTGGGCGAACAAAGAACTGACTAACTCCCTAGCCTTCCTTTTATCAACTCCCAAAAAACTTGAGTTGCATTAAGCTCTCCTCATGAGCACTCCTGTTATCCGGAATGCTTTCACCGCCAAAATATTGTTGGGTCATTGCTATAAACTGCGCGATCCTGGATCTCCAAGATAGATACATGCCAATCAACAAGCTTTGCTTGAATGCATTTGCATAGCACAAGTCCTGTAGGGAATAGCCACCAGCTGGTTTCCTCCCTGCCAAGAGTTCCGAGGTTAAGGTTCCTAGGTAAAAGATATGGCAAGCCAACGGCAATACGGCATTCAGGTACAGGGAGGAAATAAACACTTACCCGCCAAAATTCCATGGCTGCATGCTTGGATGTTTTTTGTTTGATGACTTATAATGCAGAAATCCACATACAGAAGCCACAACCTGCGAGTGATAGAGCACTTGTAGGTAAAAACCATAAAACATGATTCCTATTTTTCTTTAGAAAAAAGGAATATAACATTCCACCTCCAACATTCACAAGTGAATGTGTGCAGCCAATTACAACAGATTTGTAGTACTTAGATTACACTCCACCAAACATGGTACAAAACATGGAACAAATAAAAGAGACTAAGTCCCTATCCTATTCCTTCTTCGATACACAACTTGCTGAAGAGCTTCAACCTCATTGCCTCCATCAAGCGACTGTATTCCTCTAGTGAAAACAGCAGTACTCAGAGCATCACATCGATGCTTGATAGGAAAGAATTCCATCAAATACTTTGATATTCTCAACCGAGCTGTCCTCTCGCCACTGGCCAAAACCTATAACCTCCCTGAGACCTCCTAACACCGTCTAGCGGATCAAGAAACAAGTAAAGATACATTGCTGAAAGCCGTCGATGAAACAAGACGAGTACACACCTACAACAGGCTATCCCAAGCTACCAAGAGAGATAGGAAGACTACATCCTGTATAGAAACATAACAAAGGAGCAGTGGCAAAGCCAAACGGCAAGCATTGGAAGTGCCTAGCGACGCCTTCAGAAAGGTAACGATGTCAAAGACACCGACGATGCTAGCCAACAATGGAAAGGTTTTCACCAGCAATCACCAACTGGATGGGTAGAAGAGGTACAAAGAGGATGCCTCCAAGGAGAATGTGGTGTCCTAAGACGTCGCGTCCGAGCTTTCGCCCTGATCTCACAGAACCCACCCACCCAGGTTGCCCATCCTAAGTCCAGATGCTAGTGACATGGGCTTTCCCTGCCACTACGCCCACCACGAGCGTCCTCGCTGCGTTCTCCGCACCAGTCAGGAGACCGCCGCCGACCACAACTAGGAGATGGAGATAGGGAGTGGAGAAGTGACGGGAGGAGACGACAGTGCCGAGTGGCGTCCAGCGCTAGTGCCACCCCAGCAGAATCCATGACCTGGACCACCGCCCTTGGGTCCACCAAGGCAGACGGCACTGCAGGGGCTATGTCAGCCTCCCCTCCAGCCATCGTGCCCGCAGCACACCATTCACGGCCTGGAAACCACAGCAGCAACCCCCAAGCCAATCTACAAGGAACAGCACTGGAACCAGGGAGATCTGGCCACCACCGAGCTGATGGGCTGGAAGGCTGCCACCAAACTCCACTGTTGCCATGGTTGCTGTCGAACTTTATGGGAGGAAACAGATGGG